AGTAGCAGTAGTAGTCGTAGTTGTAGTCGTAGTCGTAGTCGTGGTGGTGGTGGTGGTGGTGGTGGTGGTGCTGGAGCAGTAGTAGCAGAGTCATATTGGACTTTGAAATATCCGAATCTCATCACGGAAAGATACAGCTCCGACCAACTGAAAGGGCTCTCCAATTTTCCATCTGCTTTTCTCGAGTCTAAGACACCTTGGCAACACAAGAATGTTGGTCAAGGCATGGGATATGTCAGGTTGTCCTGACGAAGTCTTGAGCATTCTTGAACATCTTGTAGCTCAAATCGACAAACGAGGAAATAGGGTTTGCTGAGTCATGGATTTCTATGCTGACGATGCGAAGAGCCCTGTCCTGAAACCTACGTTCAGGACATAGTGTTGCCGCTCCAGCCGGTGAACTATAGCCCTGACTCGGAGAATGGGCTGCGCACCCAGCGCTTTCACTTCTCAGCTCCGCATGGCAGGGCCTCGGACAGAAGGCATCAGTCGTTCGCAGGCCTTTTGACAACCCGAATGCCCATTCCATTCCTCCAAAACTCTAGTTAATCCCCAAACCCCTGCCACGATCCAGGCCGTCCCGGCACGATCCCAAGAAGGACCTCAAGGACGATGGTACAAATCCGAACATGAAGGCTCCCGTTCTTTCGGCCACATTCGAGAGATCTCTGCTGATGTAGGTTGACTTGAATGTGAAGGTTCGGTTTCGGGGCCACTGAACGCTTTGAAGGGCTGCCGAAGCATCTAGTGATATCCAGTGACTGGTGCTTCGGCCGATAGATCGGACACTTGGGCTGGGATCGGTCTGTGCGGCTCTGGGGTGGAACTGTGATTTAGGGGCCCAAATCGTGTGGCAACTCGGGGATGCCTGCGCAGCAGGTGACCGGCGACATCTTCTTGACGGTGAGCTGGAACTACCCCACCATTGAGGGCAGAGGTGCACGCAGTTTCTTGATCTTGAGCGATAGTTGTGGGTTGTTCCAAAGAAAGTCCTGTCAAATACGGTCACTTTCAACACGCACACGCACACGCACGCACGCACGCACGCACCCACACACACACACACAGTCACACACACAGTCACACACACAGTCACACACACAGTCACACACACAGTCACAGTCACACACACACACACACACACGCACACACACACACACACACCCACGCACGCACGCACACACGCGCACGCGCACGCGCACGCGCACACGCACACGCACACACACACACACACGCACACACACACGCACACACACGCACACACACACACACACACACGCA